GCCCGCTCAGGAGGGCTGCTCACCCCCCCCTTTTCAGAGGGACCGCTCAGAAGAGCCACTAGCCGCAGGGAAACCGCTCGCCGCACCCCTTTTCAGGGGGGAGCCACTCAGCGCCATACGCCTCACCCCTTTGACAACTACCATAAGGACAAAAAATTTTTAGTGTGGGGGCCTAAACTTATCAAGGCCTCGCTTCATACATAGGGGGATTCCCTTTGTATTTTAAAGGGGGTCAGTAAACTGCATGTCCCTGTAAAACCATCATCACTACACCGGGGTCATTAAGACTGCACCCACATACACACCACCCTCTATTGGGTTATTTAGGATGCACGTCTTAAGACCAGTCACTACACCAGGGTCATTAAGACTGCATGCCCCAAATACATCACCAGTCACTACACAAGGCATTAAGACTGCACGTCCCCTGTACCCCACCAGTCACGCCCCCAGCCTCAAAGTTCCTCAAGCCAGTTCCCGACCAGGGGGGCTGTGGTTCATGCGTTTAGCTGCTACCGATCAGCAGAAAACAGTCGGAGGGGCCCGGGTTCTGATCCCCCCCAGGAGCCGTGAAGGCGGAAATCCCCAAAACCCCTTTGGTTTCCCATCAGGTAATAAACAAAATTTCTCAAAGGATTTTGTAACTGCTAGATAAGGGTTGTAACTGGGCATTGTACTCGAGACTGACCACCCATTTCCTGCATACTGTTCTAAGTGTCCTTCCCCTCTAAAAATTTTTTTATTATTATTATTTTATTATTATTATTATTATTATTTTATTTATTTTTATTATAACAATTTTATTATATTCATATTTTCAATTTTAATTTTATTTTATTTTATTTTTATTATTTTTTATTTTTATTATTATTATTTTTATTATCCTGAAGAAAGCGGTAAACCTTAGGGGTCCCCTAAGAATAAAGGCTCCAGTTCTCACTCATGTTGGCTCTTACTCTTCCTTTCTAGATTTCTACATTAAAATTTTCCTCCTGTCTGTCTGCCCCGCCTGCGTCTGTCGCTGCTGTCGTCTACCTGTCTGTCTGTCACCTGTCTTCCCCGTCTGTCTTCCTGTCTACCTTCTGTCTTCTACCCGCTGTCTGTCTGCTTCTGTTGTCTGTTGTCTACCGTCTGCGTTACCCTTTTGTCTGCTGTTTCCGCCCGTCTGTTGTCTGTCTTCTGTCTACCTTCTGTATGTCTACCCGTCTGCTGTTGCTTCTGTCTGTCTGTTACCTGCTGTCTGCCTGTCTGCTGCCTGCCTGTCGTCTGTCTGTCTGTCACCTGTATATCTGCCCTGCCCGCTGCCTGTCGTCTGTTGCCTGCTGTTTGTCTGTGTACCTGTCTGCTCCTGCCTGTCTGTTACCTTCGTCTCCCTGCCTGCCTATCTGTCTATTTGTCTGTCTGCCCGTCTGTCTGTCTGCTGCCTGTCTTTACCTGTCTGTCTGTCTGCCTGTCTGTCTGCTGCCTGTCGTCTGTCTTCTACCCGTCAGTCTGCCTCCTGTCTGTCGTCTGCCCGCCTCCTGTCTGTCTACCTGTCTGTCTCCCTGCCTGCCATCTGTCTACCTGTCTGTCTGCCTGTCTGTCTGTCTGCCTGTCTGTCTTCTGTCGTCTGCCTGTCTACCTGTTGTCTGTCTACCTGTCTGTCTGTTACCTTCTGTCTGCCCCGTCGTCTGCCTGCCCCCCTGTCGTCGGCTACCCGTCCGTCTGCCTGTTGTCTCTCTGCCTGCCTGCCTGTCTGTCTGTCTGTCTGTCGCCGTTTGTCGTCCCCACCGTCCGCTGCCTGTCGTCTGTCACTTGCTGTTACCTGGGGGGTGCTGTCTGCCGTCCTCTGTCTACCCGCTGCTGCGTCTGTTACCTGTCTTCTGCCTGCCTGTCTGTTTTTCGTCTCTGTCTGTCTGTCTACCTTCGTTGTCGCCGTCTGCCTACCTGTCTGTCGCCTGCCTGTCGTCGT